AGCTGCAATCAAATAATTTAATATATAATTGCATTAAAACAATATATTACACAGTTGCAAAAAAAATAATTTAGCACATGTTTGCATTAAAATAATTTACTACATAGCTTCAATAAAATAATTTAGTACATAACTGCATTAAAACAAATTACTACACAGCCACAAAAAAATAATTTATTACATGTCTTCATTAAAACAATTTAATACAAAGCTTCATTAAAGTAACAGAACAAACATTTGCACCACAATAATACACATAACAGCATCAAAAGAATGTATACATAAAATTAAAACAATGAACATAACAGTTAACACTGATGGTTAAAACCCATCACTAGAACAGTCCATCATTAAAAACATGTTAAGTAAACAATGTTTGTTTGCCGTATATCAATCACTTACTTTACATACATTGAATATAGTCCACCGATAAAAGTTATTTATAATTTCCACTCTGCCTACCATATCGAACAAAGCAATTATGTTCATAATCTCTTTCAATAATTCATTAGGTCTCGCCCGACACAATTATTTACATAGCGTCACAAATACAAGATACCTGAAGATTAATATCGATATCAATAAAAGTGGCTGTGTTCATTTATCTGATTACGGTGATCGAGTATCATCAAGCACCGTGTGATAGTAATTCAAAAATCAGGCTCTGTAGAATTAGAGGTGGCGAGGGTTTTTCCCATAACATACGGGACGATGACGGCCCCTGCGTGACAGAACCCTAATAGGGAAGAGGGTTAATGTTTTCAACCCCATACAGATTCTCATGCAGTTATATGCCGGCTGTATTACTACTAATGGGAGTCAGTTTTCGTTATGGTGGCCGAGTACATCTATAACTAGCGGACTGATATATGCGGGTGCTTTGTAGGACATATGTATATCGTATACTGAGGTCTATGGTTGTGGACTATCTTAATTGTTGGGTATCGATTTGTGAATGGGAAATGGGGCATTGACATTCAGGGCTTTCGGTATTTTTTTTTTAGATATTTTGGTATTTACCAATTTCGGTATTTTCCTATTTCGGTATTTACCAATTTCGGTATTTACCGAATTCGGCATTTCCCTATATCGGTATTCCCCAATTTCAACTTTCCCTAATTTCGGCGTTCTCCAATTTCTACATTCCCCAACTCCCACATACTCCAATTCCCACATTCCCCAATTCCCACATTTCCCAATTCCACATTCCCCAACTCCCACGTTTCCCAATTCCACATTCCCCAATTTCCACATCCCACAATTCCTAAATTTCCGAATCTCTCATTCCCTAATTCCCACATTACCCAATTCCTACATTCCCCAATTCCCACATTCCCCAATTCCCACATTCCCGAATCCCTAAATTTCCGAATCTCTCATTCCCCAATTCGCACATCCCCCAATTCCTAAATTCCCGAATCCCTAAATTTCCGAATCTCTCATCCCCCAATTCCCACATCCCCCAATTCCTAAATTCCCGAATCTCTCATCCCCCAATTCCCAGATCCCCCAATTCCCAGATCCCCCAATTCCTAAATTCCCGAATCCCTAAATTTCCGAATCTTTCATCCCCCAATTCCTAAATTCCCGAATCCCTAAATTTCCGAATCTCTCATCCCCCAATTCCCAAATTTCCGAATCTCTCCTTCCCCAATTCCCAAATTTCCGAATCTCTCATCCCCCAATTCCTAAATTTCCGAATCTCTCATCCCCCAATTCCCAAATTCCCAAATACCTACCCTCCCAAATCCCCAATTTCCCAAAATTCTAAAAATTAAAAATTCCCAAAAGCAATAAAGTTTGCAACCATATCAAAGTCCTCACCACCGACTTTACAACTTAATTCAATAAATTTGCCACGTCACCCAGCAGTCACACAACTGTCCCTCCATCAACAATCATAATTCTCATGATCTATAATTGCACGTTTCTCGGTAACTGATATATCGCATTGCAATTGAGCCAAGATTGTTTACCAAAGATTCTGTTGAAACGTTACACGTAACGCCGGTGACGATGAATTGCAGTTTCGCTTTTATCAGCGTCTTTTTCCTGAGCTCCATAAAATTTCTACATCGACAGTATGAAAAGGAGAGTGCTTGAAATTCCATAAAAAAAGAATTCTTTTTCCATTACCATGAATCGGTTCGCATTGTTACGATACACCGAGATCGACGCATAATCAAAGGCTAACAATGCGTGGACGATGGTTATTTACAATCTGCGACTTACATCGTGCATGAATAAAAGCTCAATTTCATTCATACGACTCTTCTCGGTATTCTATCGCGCGGCTACGTTCGAGCTATCGGATCACAATGCGCTGAATACCGCAACTGAAATAGTTAACACGTCCTTAAATCATTTCATCATCGAATATAACTGCTTTTGTATTCTATGGTTAAATTATGTAACTAAACGGGTTTACTATCTGATTTATTTATTGTAGTCTGTGTAACCTACTTATTTAACCTATCATTGTATTACTTTGACAACTCTCTTCAAAGTTTACTATTTAAAGCAATATTGGTGTGAAAGTAACAATAAATAAATTTGATATATGTTGCAAGGTTACATGGTATAGCATGATTGTTATATTATGCGAATGTCAAGCAGTAAGATCTCTAAATACAAAAATCCCTAGGTACTTAGGTCACCAGGTTTTTGATCCCTGAATATTCTAACTCCTTAAATTCCTGGATTCATAGATACAAAAATCCTTGTATTCCTAGGCCTCTAAATCAATGAATTCCTAGGTTACCAAATCCCAAAACCTCTAAGTCCCTAAATCCCTAAATTCTTAGATTCCAAAATCGGTAAACCCCTAATTCCAAAACTTCTAAATTCCAAAACCCCTAAATCCCAAAACATCCGTATATCCCAAAACCCCTAGATCTCTAAATTCCTAAATTCTCAAATCCCTAAATCCCTAAATCCCTAAATCCCTAAACGTCCAAACCCCTAAATTCCCAAATCTCTAAATTCCCAAATCCCTAAATTCCCAAATCCCTAAATTCCCAAATCCCTAAATTCCCAAATCCCTAAATTCCCAAATCCCTAAATTCCCAAATCCCTAAATTCCCAAATCCCTAAATTCCCAAATCCCTAAATTCCCAAATCCCTAAATTCCCAAATCCCTAAATTCCCAAATCCCTAAATTCCCAAATCCCTAAATTCCCAAATCCCTAAATTCCCAAGTCTCTAAACCTCCAAACCCTTAAATTCCCAAATCCCTAAACCTCCAAACCCCTAAATTCCCAAATCTCTAAATTCCCAAATCCCTAAATTTCCAAATCCCTAAATTTCCAAACCCCTAAATTCCCAAATCCCTAAATTCCCAAATCCCTAAATTCCCAAATCCCTAAACCTCCAAACCCCCAAATTCCCAAATCCCTAAACCTTGACATCCCCATACTCAAAATGACGCAAACGACCAAAAAATATCGTACATTCACAGTAAACAACCAATTCGCATAAAATTTGATTACACACCGATTTCATACGATATTTTTAGAAGTGTATCACCACGATAAAATCTCTGTTGAAAATTTAATTTATGTTAACCATTGTTTGCGCTAAGTTTTCAATTTTGATTGTATCGATTACGATTCAAGTGTATACTGCGCAATGATATTAGTTTTATCGGTTCACAGCTCCCATAAACTGATTCGTTTTCGTCAATTCTCGAATACGCATATAATAAAATGCCGATATCTTTCGTACTCTTCAATACGAGATAAGTGGCAAGTATAAATATATGTATACTGATAAGAATATAATACTACGCTTTTACAAATGCGTCTTAAATAACAAGCTTTACATTCATGCGATAAATCCATCTGTAGGAACAAACAATTCTACACGTGAACAGAAAATTTGTTTTCTGACTTCATCGAGTGTTACTTCTTCAGTTTTCTGATGAAGTAAACAAGTTTTATTGGAATATTTTTACATTTTCAATTTTTCAGTTCGTACATTTTTAAGTTACTGAATTATCAATTTTATATTGCCAAATTTATTAATTTATTATAATACATATATACCTAGATATATACCTAGATTCCTAGGTTCCTAGATCCCTAAATTCTTAGACCTAATTACGTTGGACGTTTGACGCATCAAAAATATCATCCATAAAAATTACTCCAGAAAAGACTGCGCAATTTAGTCCATTGTGGGGAGTCAGCCATGCTACTACGCACCCCTAAATTCCCGCCAATCAGAGACTTCGTGGAGAATAGAGAGAGAACGAAAATCCATGGACCAAGCGACTGGTACCGAAAGAGAAAGCTAAATATATTTCACATAATTGAAAACATAAACAACTCTCTTGCAACATTTCTACATTTCTAAATCTTCATTTTAAAAGTTCTTAAATTTATAAATTTGTCATTTTGAAAATTGAACAACTCTTAGACATCTAAATCTCAAGACCGATCTAATTAATAACAGTAAACCTACCGAACCGGTCAAAATGACCGTGCAACAAGTTTCTTATTATAAGTTACAAAGTTTGCTAAAGTGGTCTTCTTGCAACCTACGTTGATTTTCATCAAGATAAAGACGCAATGTATACGGCAATTTATCTTTTCGTTCCAACTCCACTTTTAATTTCAATGTAAATGTACTTACATGCGCCTGTAGGTTATTTGACGCGTTAAAAACATCGTCCAAAAAAATTACTCCAAAAAAGACTGCGCAATTTAGTTGATCGAAGGGGAGCCAGCCATGCTATTAGGCACCCCTAAATTTCCACCAATGGGAGAGCTCGGGGAGAAAAGGGAGAAAATGATTCGAAAATCCATGGACCAAGGGGTTGCTGGTATCGAGAGAGCAAGCGAAATATGTTTTGTATGATTGGCCCGAGGAGTGCGCGACGTTGCCAAATGTCGTAGAACAGTGGCGAAGGAGTGGTGGGGATGGCCGGCAGCGTCGCGACGTCTGATTGGTCGAACCGGCGGTGCCGCCTTTCGAGTCTCACGAACCGTCATGCGGACGCACGCATCTTCAGTTCGCATTCGGAGCCCCAGCGAGCTATATCTCCTTGAGACGGAAAGGAAACAGCCGACGGGAGCTTTCAAGTTTCCCTCTCCACGGGAGTCGCGACGAAGATTCTTCGATTCGAAAAATAAAGTGCCAAGTTTCTCTCGCCACGTACTCTTTATCACCGGTACACGCAAAATATACACATCGTACGAGATCGTCTTCCGTTTCGCACGGTGATCGCACGTGACACAGCTTGAACAGCAAAGAACGTCGAGAGCAACGTGCTCGTTGAACGGCCAGAGACACTACGTTGTTCATTTGAATTACTCGCTTGATTTCGAGAATCTGGCTCGCGTTTCTGTTCATCTCGTACGTTCGAAGAATCAATTACGGGTGTGCTTCCAATGTAAATCCACGAGAGCGTATATATCGTCGGAGTGGCAGTTTCTGTGTTCTCGAAGTTGATATATCGCGGTTTTTTATTCTTTTATTCCTCCAACGTCTTCCGTGCGGTACGCGCACAGCCTTGGTCTCGAACGAGAGGAAGGCGGATCGCTACGTTTACTATTTAGCTCCAGTGTGTTTTGTGCGAAACTGAGGGAACATGTCGACCGCCGTCATGAGCACCCCTATGTTCGAGTGTAGCGAGCATCTCTTCAAGGTAAGTTCTTTTTTTTCATTTGTTCCTTGTTTTTTTTCTTCTCCGTTTTCCATCATGTCTAACCTTTATACAAAATCATGGTACGTCAATTCCTTTTGGGATTGTTTCAATTACCTTATTTACCATTTATAATATATCAATACAAATTTATAATAACTTTATAAAATCATGATTATCAACCTATACGTTTAAATAGGGTACGGTAACAAACGTGCTTGGGAACCATTTTGAAAATTGTAAACTAAAGAACTGTTTCATAGGATAAAACTGTGTTACCAGTGTCAAAAGGCGATCTTGTTTACTATTCTACACTTCTCAAAACAAACTTAAACTTCAACGATTTTATTTCAAAATAGTTTACTTTGAAAAAGTTTTGAAGTACCGCTACCAAAATAAGTTCATATGAATCTCTTGAACGATTAATAATGTATCCACTATTTTTTCACTTAGAAATTTCTTAGAAAATTGAAAAATTTAAATATACATAGTCTTACACTGTTATAAATATTCCTAAAAATAGTGTAATTGTGTTCCATGAGATATTCCGTGAATACAGATATTTAGTCGCCATTAATTTGAACGCCCTTATATTAACTGAACACGTTATATCGTTTACAAAATTGTAAATCAATCTTTTACATATCGTATGTCAGAAACAAAGAATAATTTCTCGTTTTATCAGACAAAGAGATTATTTATTAGACAAAGAATTTCTTTATTACTAGACAGAGAGTGATCGGTCATGTTTTGGAGACATAAATTAAAGAACCCTTAACAGTTCAAGTGTTTTGGACTTTGTTGTGAATCAGGTGATGCGTGACACGTACCTGGTTACGAATATGAGCGTTATCTGTAGGGGATCGTTTTCTATTAACAGATTACGTTATCAGAGCATGTTTTCCATCATTTCGAAGAATCTAGAATCTCGTCGATAAACGTTAGAGGCTAGGTGTTAAAGATGGCTGTGTTCAGCACGTGGCATCGCGAATACCGAGAAATTCCGTATTGGCCGTGTTCGCGGTGAATTTTCTCGCTGGTACCCGGTGGTACCGTGGCGCAAACATTCGTGTGACGGTGTTGGTACCCGTACCTATTCTGTTCAGATCGCCACGCTCTATTGCACCGCCGGACAAATATGGAATGGAACGGGTTGAACACGCTGTGGAGCCATGGCGTACCTTTTTGTCTACACGTGCCAAAAATTTTCTAATAATATATTATACTAGTTGAGAAAATTAATGGGAACTAAAAATTTGGGAATTTAGGGTTTGGAGATTTGGAAGTTTGGCAAGGTGGAAACCTCGGTTGGAAATTTGGAGATTTTTAAATTTTGGAGTTTAGAAAGTTAGAAGGTGGAGACTTAGAAGTTTGAAATTTTAAAGTTTTAAAATTGGAGGGAGGTGGGATTAGGAAGATGGTCACTTAGGAAATTGGGGATTGAGGATTTGGCAGTTTAGGGATTTGGAGGTTTGGATATTTGGAAATTTAGGAATTTGAAATGTGAGAATTTAGGAATTTAAGAATTTTAAGGGTTTGAAATTAGAGGATTTGGGGATTAGGGAGATGGTCACTTAGGAAATTGGGGATTGAGGATTTGGCAGTTTAGGGATTTTGAGGTTTAGATATTTGGAAATTTAGAAATTTAGGAATCTAAGAATTTAGGAATTGAGGAATTTAGAAATTTGAAAATTTGGTAATTCCTAAATTTGGAAATTTCAAAATTTATAAGCCTGCTGATTTAATAACTTGAGGATTCAAAGCTTCACTGACTGAAATATTTGTAAATAAATGACCACAGTAAAATTTTTATACGTGTCACTTGCGGTACCAACAGTTCCATTACACCATCATTGGTAAACTGGTACAGTTAAAATATAACAATGGCGTAACAAAAACAGCGTACCTTATTCTTGAATTTCCCAAATAAATTGTACTCAAAGTGTCTTGAAATTGGAAAGGAATTAACAGACGCGGTAAACGTGACTATTTTGGCGCGCAACAGTTATGGAGATAATGATTCAAGGCTCGAGTGGTATTTTTGATCGCGTGGTACTTGGCTTTCTTCGAGGTTTATTTACTCCTTATGAAATTTCTCCTTTAAATCGCTTGAGTTTCTGCATCTGCTCTGTGTAACGATTTCGAATTTATTTCGAGACCGGTCGAAAGTGGGGCAAAAGGTTTTTCGCAAAATTGGAGAGGTTAGACTCAAAAGTGTAAGTCGGTGAAAAATGTATTCTATACAAAGTTGCTTTGTTTTCTTTTTCTCTCTTTGATACACTGTTCTGATGTTTGAAATCATTATTCATATCGATTAATCATTTGTACCGATTAATCATCATTTGTACTCATTAATCATCATTTATATTCATAATTAAAATTCAAACATTTTTAAACAATTTTACATGTATTACATTTTATTGACAAGTCTGTTTTTAATTTGGACAAAATTTAATTAAGAAATGATAGGTTATTAAGCAAGAAATTTATTGATTGTTATTTATGTTATATAATAAATGAAATTTATTCATTTTTATTCATTATTATATGATTATAAATTAATATATTTTAAGAGATTGTTAATATGAAACTTATTTTTTTGTTATCACTCGAATTGTGAAAGTGCTTGTCTTCTCCAATGGTGCAATGAGTGACACCAGTAAATCTAAAAATAGACGAGGAAATGAATTTCCGATAAAAAGAAGTGATCCGAAACTTTTGACCGACTGCGTATATACACTACACATATTTGAAAGCAGATAGGAGTGAAAGTTCACGGCTGAGCGTCGAATTCATATGAAAACAAATTCGAACTTTATTTTTTGCACGCGTTCAGAGGTCGTCCTCATTGTTGTCGCCGTAAACGTTTCTCGTTCGATAAACTTTGTAAATGTTTGCATTTGTATTCGGTCTTCGAAGCGTGATATATACAATCCGATTTCGCGTATGGTTGATCGATTGTCAGTTATTTCTGTGGACAACATGGCTGTTCATGACGACTCGCACGAACTTGCGATGACCTGTTCAAAACGCAACCGAATTCGCGCTCTGACGTTTCGTGTTTTTCCGTACTGCGTCGTTCAGATGTTCGCCCTCTGGAATCTCCGATTACCATGCTCATCAAAATTTGCGTCTGAATTGATTAAACGTTCTTTTTATACAAACTTTACGATTCTATTATATAATTTTTATGCTGTACAGATTAATAATTAAATATTTCAAGGCTTTCTGTATATACTTTATTTTTATTTATGTGTATACTTAGGTATACATTTGTATATGAAGGTTATCTTTTTATGTAGTTTATTTTGAACTGAAAATTTTATCAAGACAGAAAATAGTCACAAGACACAAGTTTATATTTAATTTTACATGCTATTGTAGTTACAAGGGTGTACTAATATAAAAGAATTTTTTTTATTATTTATTTTTGCAAATAAAATTAGTACTTACACTGTTAATACATTAAGTTAACATTTATTTAATTTATTTATATATTTCAACAGAAAATTTTTGGACGAAATTTATGGTACATAAAAGTACAAATTAAGTACCATTTTTAGATTAGGTTTATGAATACGTTTATGGTTGAGACACGGATTGCGTTGTACATCAGCGATATCTGTGAAGTAACATTGGAGTGAAATTGTATCATATTTCGCGATATTTTCTGATTTGAATACAAATGCCTTTGTTACACGTTCCTGGAAAACAGGAAAATAATTTCATTTACCGACTTCCTTCGAATGCATTAATTTTATGCTGTTTCGACGATAAGAATTCGTGTAGTTATAAGTGTATTGCGTTTCCCTTTCGAATAATAATTATTCCATAAACATACGTAAATACATGTATGGCGTGACTTCCAATCAGAATGTTCGGAGCAGAACCGTAGTTATCTTTACAGTGTATAATTATTCATCTTCTTTTTATTTGTAAAATACGATTTTGAGTGCAATAACGTCTGGTTATGAAACATTTCTTGCATAATAAATTACTTCTTGTAGTGCGATAAGAATGGCATTTGAATTTTATTTAATGGAACAGAATTGATTATACTGCATTCTAATCTCTTATGTTAGATTTTAAATTATAAATTTGCAGTTCAACAATTTTTAAACTTAAAATTAAACATTGAAAATTATTAATTTGAAAATTGGAAATTTATAAATCCGGCAATCTGATAATTCAGAAATTTCTGATTTTACAAATCGTATCACCAAAGCTACAAAAGTTAAAATTATCTTACAGATTGCATGTAACGCAAATATTACAGCTAATATTCTAAGAATCAAAATCGAAACTCCAGATGTATAATTTCTAAAGAAAAGTTACTTAAAATATTTCAGTTTACCGAATCTTTCTTGGTATAAAAGACGAAATGTTACTACACATGAATAAGCGAATTTAACTTTAATATTGATAATTCACTATACCAGAATAAAGCGAACCGAAAACGTGAGCAATTCATCAAATAAAAAGAGCGGGAAACTCGTGGGCGTGCACACACACGTGTGTTTGCGAGTAAAAATAGTTCCATAAATTTTATTCTCAGTGAATCAAACGTCCATTCATTTATTCGATAGACAAGTCTTTACGTAATTGACTTTGATCGCGATTGGCTGAGAGTAGAGACCCGAAATAGTCTACAAGGTTAGGTCAATAGCACCATTTTTCACGCGAAATTTAAACTGTTCGAATGCTTTGATTCAAAAAGCTACATAAAAAATTTTTATCAATTAGATTTATTTATTTATTTAGTGATATCTTTTTATACTATAAGAATATTTATAAAAATACATTCAATTGTACATAAATATTATGTATTATTATTTAAACTTGTTATTTATGTATCTACTATCTTTTAATTAAAGCACATCGTTATTTACAATTTAAATTTCGCGGTACGTTGCCGAAAAATGGCGGCACTGATCAAAATCGGTACCGTTATTTCAAGCGCGATTAGAAGCACAAACCAGTGTAAGTAGAAACACAAGATCAGA